TGTACATGATGTGACCGTCTTTTGAAATTTGTTTACTAACTAACCGCGATAAATTTTTTATATAGCAATAATGATTTTTTGTATCCTTGGAAAAAAATAATAAATTGATATGTCTATCTTTACGACACTTTGTTAAAAATAATGGACCTACTATAGAATTACATCGTTTTTCTTTATTATATTCTAACCCAAAAACATTAATACTAATATCATTTAATTTCTCTACTTTTGCTATGTCAGAAATTTTAACCGGAAAGGAAATACCATCAAATTTAAGTTTATTTGCATGTTTAACGTACGATGATACCCGATCGGTGTGTTTGTTTACAGGATATAACGCCGAGAGTAACGCCCATTTAAAACAAAAATAATCCTTGTTTTTTACATTTATAACAGCCTTTTTTAATTTTATGTCACGAGGAAGATCTATGTATGAAGTACCGCGTAGGGGGTTAAATTTATTAACATTCATGTCTATAGATTTTATGTTTTTTAGACTCCATCCACTATCTTTTTTTTCGAAAGCACTAATTTTAGTAGTAATTGTATCATTTAAAGATGAAAGAAAAATATTTAAGTCATCTCCTTGACAAATAATATAGTTAAGCGTTTGAAAATCGAACGTATCATGAATATCTTTAGTTTGTTGAACAAAATCAGCATGCAATATGAAGTTTACCTTAAAAATTATGTGTTGATGAATACACTCTTGTAATAAAAATAAAATATCATCTTTAATAGAATTTAAAAATAGTTCAGGAGTTTCAAAATTTACCCATGTCGAACGATCTACTCTACTCTTGATTTTATAAGTTAAAATCCTATTTCCAAAAGCAGATTCAATAACACTAACGTTTGATAAAGAATTATGTGAATTTAAAAGATTATTTTTATGAACATTACTTTTAAAATGATTAGCTAAATACCGTTTCTTGATAAATATATGGCACGTTGGACATTCCACTTGATCATCGTTACTGATACTGTTCCCTGCAGAGGTATGCGCTTCTGCTTCCGTTGTTGGTTTTTTGATGATCTTGGATTCTTTGCTGCACGTTCGCTTCGTTCCTCTTCCAAGTTGTAGTGGTTGACTGCTAAAATGTTTAAATTTATTAAAAACTGTATAAGACAATATGTAAATTATGATCGAAATGAATGTTTATTTTACATACTTAAACTGTGTTTCAACCATCGCACAGTGATGATACAACTCATCATCGTATCACGAATCGAACAGTTGACCCCTCTCCATTTCTTCACAAACTTTAGACAACTCCTGATTTAATTCGCTATTGAATAGTTCCGTATTCTCTTCCATGATTGTGGAGAAAAAAGCACTGGTGCACACTTCACTGAAGTTTTCCCTTCCTCTTTTTTATTTTTGATTCAGCTTCAAAAAAATGATCAATCGATTGCGATTTTCTTTTTCCACCATCGCATGTGTTATTATTAATGACGAGGTCATCACTCTCTTCTTGAGGGGAGAGTGGCGAGTAGTAATACTGTTTATAGGTATCTTCATCGAAGCTCAATGATTTCTGCAACAACACAGTTATCATGTTAATATCAATTTGTTAACACTTAATCATAAAAGTTAAAAAAGTTAAAGTTACAGCCTATTAAAGTCCACTGCTGAACATAGGCCTCCTCTCATTTCTGAGAGGGTTTTAGAGCAAGGAAATGTCCGCCGCGCTCCCTCAATGTGTGTTGGCGAACTTCACATGCCTTCGAAATTTTCTCAGACATGCAGGTTTCCTCACGATGTTTTCCTTCACCACCAAGCACGTGGTAATAAGCACTTAAAATTGCTATTAACAATTTAATTGGTGCTGGCGGGGATCGAACCCGGGTCGCGTACTGTGAAATTTACAGCTAGCGCTAACCATCTGAGTTACCACGGCTTAATCATATACATACACAATATTTAAATAAAATAATACACACACATGAAAATAACAGAAAAAAAGTAATTTAGTCAATAGAATAAACACTTACATCCATAGCCTTTGGTGTATTGAAGTAACACAAATGTACTATTGATAGATCCACTGTAGCCAAACGACCGTACACTAACTCGATGACTGCGTTTGTTGGTCTTATATACCACCAGTACGTAAAAATTCTAATCTAAAGTATTTCCGTAATGAGTTGATAATTACTTTATGCGTCAACCAGTTTATCTCACATTTCCGTTGCCTATCTCAACATTTCTTCGTATTGTGTTTTGTTTGGTGATCAATGACTCAAGTACGATTTGTATAACACAAAAATGCAATTTAATATTTAGAAACATATCAGTTTATCTCACATTTCCGTTGCCTATCTCAACATTTCTTCGTATTGTGTTTTGTTTGGTGATCAATGACTCAAGTACGATTTGTATATCACAAAAATGCAATTTAATATTTAGAAACATATCAGTTTATCTCACATTTCCGTTGCCTATCTCAACATTTCTTCGTATTGTGTTTTGTTTGGTGATCAATGACTCAAGTACGATTTGTATATCACAAAAATGCAATTTAATATGTAGAAATCACTATAATTGACCATTCCTATGTTATTCATTGAGTAGCTAGGTACTGTAATAATCTACTAATAGCAGTAATATCATGGATACACTAGATGTACAACAACATCTGAAAAAGATTCACCCCAGTCTAGAAAATAATGTTTATGCAGCTAATAGACTGCCTATGTATACCCACGTACCAACGTATATAATATGTAATTTGGATACAGATGATAAACCAGGGTCACATTGGGTAGCTTTATATATCGATACGAATGACGTCGGTCAATATTTTGATTCATATGGACGATCACCTGTACGATATCATCTAGAGTTTTTAAAAAGGAATTGTAAAAGATGGAACTGGAATGTTGATAGGATTCAGAATGAGTGGACTTCAGTTTGTGGCGAATATTGCTTAATGTATTTACTATATAAGTTTCAAGGATGTTCAATACATAGTTTTACGAGTATATTTACAAGGAACACATTGTACAACGATATTTTAGTGGATGAGATGTTTCGCTCCTATTTTATAGATAATAATTAATAAGATTTTGTATTTTATAAATAAAAATTGTAACAAAATTATGTAATGTGTTTTATTGATGATTCAGATTAGCGTTGTATAAACAAAGAATTATAATACAATAGCAGTGATATAGTCGGCGCACACGCTGCAATGAAGGTGATTAAGGAACAATAGAACAATAGAAATAGGAACAATGGGACGCTAATGACGGTGGAGGCCGTTACCGGATATCAATTAGATATTAGCTAATTGATCTACACATCTCCGGAACCGTGCATTCTACACAAAAATGGACCGCGGATTCGTGATTAGAGCATGCCAAAACCTTTTTTTTTTTTTTTTTTAGGATCGGGCGTCGACGAACGTCGTTGAACCACGTCTGACTCAGGTGGTCTAGAAGTGGTACAACTACACTACTTATGCTAGCCGTGCTGAAGGGCATAAAAAGTCAATATACAGGCTGAGACTTGATATTGGTCGTCGGAGGTGACAACGCTTTTGTAGCCTATTTTGTATGAATTTGGCTGCAAATGTCTAAGGGCTGCACTAGGCACTTACCATCAGGTGGACTGCAAGTTTGTAGCAGAAGGTAGCCGAGATTAACTACGACATTGGTTCGTTGAACACCTCAGTCCTCCATTGACAATAAAACTCAGTACCCGAAACATCGGCAATACATAAAAACGGGTTAATTAAATGCGATACAAATCCGTAACAAAACAAGTTTCGTTAAATGTGTAGAGGTCGCGAAGAACTAAAATAAAAATAATTTATTTATTTATTTAATCTTTCATGCACAAAGTTGTACATATGGCGGACTTAATGCCATAGGGCATTCTCTCCCAATCAACCATTAGGCTAAACAGAGATATTTTTTTTTTAATTTTTAAAAAAAAATACTAGTAATGTTTTTAAAGATTACTAATATTCCCTTTAACCACTTCTGCTAAGCTTAAAATGCTTGTGTTAGAAGTGGTTCACGACAGTAGTCGAATGGCGGATTCGAACCCACGACCTTTCGAGTTCGCGGTCGCGTCCTGCCTTTAGGCTACTGACGCTTCCTACAAACAAGACCTCTTGTTTGTAGATATACAAACAAGAGGCGATGAAGCAGTAATCAAGATAGAAAGCGCTAAAAAAATATTTATCATTTAATGTGGTTCAACGATATTTATAGGTTTCAAATATCATTGATGCTGTTAGTACCACTTATATATTATAATATTCATTCACTAAGCAAATATTACAAGGACAGAAACGTATTCGGGTGGTGTGACTTTTACCCAAGGGCCTACATTTTTAGCATTTAATTTCGCAGCACATATGTAAGTAACCAAGGAACCACAGAACGAGGCCGGCTAATATTATCAATTGCAGTTGAAGTGCTAACCGTATTTTTATGAATTAAATATTCAAAATCGTCAATTCGAATATATCGATATACCGTGGCAAATTCAACACGACTATATCTGCTACCTCCAAGGGATGGCGGGATTATGGAATCCATTTCCACATTTCGTGGGTGTCATAAGAAGCAATTAACAATTATGAGAAATGCCAGAAATATCTTATGGTTTCCGATATACCATCTCACTTATACTATGGGGCGTGGTAGCCCTCACAGAATACCAGCGTAAAACAGCAACATAATGCTGCTGTGTTTCGTACGGTGAGTGTAGAAAACCGGAGAGCCTTTTAACGAGGCAATCCATCTCAGTACTCAGGGTTAACAACGCTTCTGCATTTTGATTCTCAATTGAGGATAGATGTAGATGTCTAGGGGCCACACCATCCACTTACCATCAGGTGGACTGTGTGCCCGTTTGTCACCCTTATTCATTAAAAAAGAAGAATAACGCTGGCGTTAAAGGTGCGAAATATCATGGATTAAGGCAAGGAGAACTTTAGAAGAGGTTCATGCCTTACAAATAAAAAGCAAAAATAAAATAACTATTGAGAAGATTTTTTTTTTATTTAAATTAGTATAGACTTAAAAATGCATATAAAAGTATAAAATTCATTTCATTAGCGAAACTAAATTAGACTTTCTAAATAATTCATCCAGCGAATTTTACAAGTTTTTTAAAAAGAAAAAAAAATTCATCATTATCTTGTCTTGGAACTGAAATTCCGAAGCTGAACAGGCGTATATGTATATACCTTACTATAATTGCTTTCCACAGTGGGTAATCGACGATTTGTATCGCTAATGAAATAAACTATGCGTAAAGTATTTCTTTCTTTTTCTTAATATTTAAATTATTTGACTTTGACGAACTGCCATTCTAAATCATACACGCCGACGGCGGTCTGGTTTTTCTCATCGTAATCCGCCCATTCCTTCTCTGATAAATCGATATCTTCAAATGTTTTTCCTAAAATAATATTGAATATTTAATATCATTATAGCTATAGACATTTATTCAAAGACATTTATTCCAACACTTACATCTTCTACACACATGAAAAATGACAATTAATAATTTAAAAAAATGACTTATAAACAAACAAACAAAAATTAGAATAAAGAAAAGAAGTGCGTCCATTATATGTATATGCAAAAGCACATTAAAATCAAAATAAAAAAAATCGTGTGCTATGATGAAGTGGTGGAAGGGACCGTCTCAGCATAAGTCGCGAGTCGCTAATTGGCAGTGCAACACTTATAAATGTATTTTTTCTTGTAGTATGAAGAAAACATGCATGCATGCAAACACACATCTCTGTGGAATTGTTTACCACCGGCGATTTTTCCAGAACGATACGACTTAGGGACCTTCAAGAAAAGAGCTTACACCTTTCTAAAAGGCCGGCAACGCATCTGCAATTCCCTTGGTGTTGCAGTTGTTCATGGGCGGCGGTAGTCACTTACCAACTTACCATCAGGCGAGCCGTATGCTCTTTTGCCCCTCTTCTATAAAAAAAACACACACACACAAACTCGCACGCACGCACACACACACACACTCGCACGCACACACACACGCACACACACACACACACACACACACACACGCACGCACACACGCACACACGCACACACCCATCCGCACGCACACACACTCGCACGCACGCGCACACACGCACGCACGCACGCACACACACACGCGCGCACGCACGCACGCACACACACTCGCACGCACGCACACTCGCACGCACGCACACACACACACATACGCGCACGCACGCACACACACACACATACGCGCACGCACGCACACACACACACATACGCGCACGCACGCACACACACACACACACATACTCGCACGCACGCACACACACACTCGCACGCACGCAAACACACACACATACTCGCACGCACGCACACGCACACACTCGCACGCACACACGCACATACTCGCACGCACGCACACACACACATACTCGCACGCACGCACACACTCGCACGCACACACACACACACACTCGCGCACACACACACACCCACTCGCACGCACGCGCACACACACACACACACACACTCGCACGCACGCACACACCCACACACACTCGCAAACACACACACACACACACACTCGCACGCACGCACGCACACACACACACTCGCACGCACGCACGCTCCCACATACACTGTAAAAATGACTGTAAGGATTCTTTATGCACATATATACCTAGTCAGGTCATAAATTCTGTCACATGTTTAATATAAAATAATTGAAACAAGTTTATTCAAAATGACCTCCGTGATTTTGAATTCAGGCCTTCAATCTGCGCGGCCAGTCGTCTATCGCAGCACGAACGAGGTCCATGTCAATATCGGCGGCTGCCTTAATCAAGGATGTCTTGAGTGACTCCAAATTGGGATGAGGCTTTGAGCACGCCTTTTCCTCCAAGTGTTGCCATATCTTGTAATCTAACGGATTCAAATCTGGACTGGAGGAGGGCCAGTCTTCGTGCCGGATGAAGTCGATTTCACGCGCCGCCAGCCAGTCTTGTGTGCTCTTCGCTCTATGAGCTGGCGCCGAATCTTGTTGGAATACCCAGTGCCTGTTACTGAACATGGTTTGAGAAACAGGTTCCACAAGGTTCGTCAGGACTGTATTTTGATACACAACTGCATTCGTTTTTACACCTTTCTCACAAAAATGTACCTCTGTTAAGCCCCAATAAGAAACTCCCAACCTGGGGAGGATGGAAAATGACCTCGTTGGACACGCGGAATACGGTTGCTCGCTTCTTCACTACTGTGTGCGTACACCTTATCATTTTGTTTGTTGTAGCTCTCTTCTACAGTAAAATTTTTTTCATCTGAAAAAAGAATTTCCCGATATTTTTTTCCCGCGTACCGCTTCAACAAAGCGCGGCATCTCTTCAGTCTCAGGTCCATTAGACGAGCATTCAAACGATGTCCTGTTTTTCTTCGATATGCCTGAAGCCCTAAGTCTTCATTTAACACCATTTTCACCGTGGTTCTGCTTAACCCCATCTGAAGGGCCAACAGTTTCTGCTTACGTTTGGGATTTCTTTACAGCTTTTATCACTGCTGGAGTCCTAACAGACCGAGGGCGACCACTTCTTGACCTGTCATCTACACTAGAGTCTTCATTGTATCGTTTGATGGTACGATAAACAAATCTTTTGGTTATATTCAAATTTTTCAGTATGTCAAAAATTTGAATTGGTGCGTAACCGCAACGATGCAACGCAATAACTGCAACACGGTCTTCTTTAAGCGTCCACTCCATATTTAAAAATGAGTAAAATTCTAAAAAGTATACAGTTTTATTTTCATGAACGATTCGAAATTCGAATTCAATAAACTTTTTTGTGGCCAGCATTCTAAAAGAAAAGTTTTTACTGTGTGACAATACTTATGACCTGACTAGGTACATATTAAAATATGTGAGCATTCTGTATCATAAATTTTCCTTATCAATATATCAAGCATTGGTGATTATGATAAATATCAAAAAAATACCTTCATTCTCAGCTTTAGCAATCCATCCTGACTTCGGCTCAAAATCTACAGGTTCTACTCCCCTACAGTCAAATATTACAATTGTTTTGAATTTGCCCACATCTTCGCTTGTGTATACACCTGAAATATATTGTATTATTTATATCAAAAAGTGATAAGAAACTGATGTTGATCTCCTTCTGGGAGTACTTGACTTTGTTGTCAACTATGCAAGATTTAATATAGTGCCATAAGTTTTTGTTTATAACATTATTATAGAATGATATCAAAATAAACTGGCTTTTGATCAACCCAAACATTAAATGTTACAGAAAAGTTGATGCCATCAAAAACATAACTTCTAAAAAAAAAACAAGTCTCGCAACTCAGTTCTTCTACCGTAAAAAGTTGTGAGATCCATGTAACACCAAGTCGGTTAATTTATTCAATCCCTACTTAAGGGTCCTTCTGTTTTATTACGTAATTAGCTAACCTAACAACATCTTATAGTGACCATATCAATACTAAAACTCCTTTATATTTTAAATAAATAGATTGACTTGGCCATTCTTGCTTGGCGTTATTTATGCAGTTGGTGTATCTCGTTAACTTGACCGAAATTGCAAAATATTTTAATTTTTCCTTGATTTATACACTAAACAATAATTGCATTCCAAATTTGAAGCTTCTATGTCTGCTAGAAGTGCCTTAGAGTTTTGATGATCGGTCAGTCAGTGAGTGACAAAATTAAGAAAGTTTGACTAGTTATAATTCTTAAACTACTGGTTTAAATTTAATAAAATTCGAAATATACCGAGTTTATATAATGCCTACTTGGTTACTGAAAATTCAGGCTTCTAGTTTTATCCATAACGAAGTTATAGGGTTTCTAAAATGGCCTGAACTGCTTCGAGAAAAGGATGGTATGGCCTTGCTGCTTTTTTGCTCGACTTGGCGGGGGCACTGCTGTGCCCCCAGATGTCAGAGCCTGTATACATCCTACTACTCGGCATAGGTCACCTCTCCTTTCTGAGTGAATTTTGGAGCAGTTATTCTACTGCACTTCTCTAGTGTGTGTTTGTGGATTTTTCATATCCTTGAATCGTATTATTTCTTAAGTATGCAGGTTTCTTTAAGATGATGATTAAAGGAACCATTGAGCATGTTTTAAATCTGTACTTAAAATTATAATTAACAATTTCATTGGTGTCAGCAGAGTTGAGAACAGCAGTACGCAAACAATCTGGCTTTGATCAAGGCTGTCTAAGCTGTAGTAGGTTAAGGGCTAAGCTATAGTAATGTCTGAAAATTATTATAATTAAAGTTATACATACATACTATAATACTTGGCCTTGTAGTGGCAATGTAATAGAATCCACTACCAACTAGGCAACTACTGCTAAAACAGGAGCTATGCATCAGTTGTCCCGACAACAACTCAAAATAATTACAACTGCAGGTGCCAACCTGCCTACCAAGTATGACAACTACAGCAAATATTCCCCCTATGAGGCAATCTATGGGGGAATATTCAGCAGTGGACTTTTGAAGAGCTATAATGAATAAAAATACTATATACCTGCTGTTTAAGTCATTTAAGTAACACAGTTATACAACTGACTCTCGATAATTTGCCACTTGTTAATTTGAATCTGTCAATCTCGAATTCTTTCCCGGTCCCTTGAAAAATATTCAATAAATTGAATTAAATCAATATTTATTAATGCCTTCAATAACTTGAAGTTGAAGGAATAGTATCTTAGTTATCCCATCAACATACAATAATTTGAAGTCTGGCCTTCCCTTACTCTCAATAATTTGAAGTGCTTATCATGCACAAACCTATTGTTTGTTTACATATCGTCGGTCGAAAACAGTAGTGGAACATCTCTGAAAATTGGTTTTTAACTTTTTATGAGTGTTACATTACTATTTCAGTGCCAATTCTATATCAGTATCGGAATAAGTCAAACTCCACATAGAAGTCGATTAAAAATAAAAGTTCCACTTCTACTCTGTGCACATAATATTATTCAGTATTGGGACACTTCGAAATGTTCCAATACGGCACTTAAAATCAAAAGTTGAATTAAATTTATTCCACCACGCTTCTCGATCTCGCTTGAGTCTCGCGCGCATTTGTTTAGTTACGCGCTGCATGCTGCGCTTGGTAGACGTATTGTCAAAAGTAATACAATCTGCAAAAATGTCTGTGTCTAAGTTATATGGAAGATCAATGAAAATGTTGCAAATGGTAATCCATGAAGACGCCAATATTGAAAACAAAGGTGTGTATTCTATTTGTAACGTTTGTGTATTTTGTAAGGAGTCGTTACTTTTAAAATTTTGCACGCTTTGGCTATATTTTAACCACTTTTATTCTACAGAAAGTGATATAAAGCAAGTTGAAGAGTATTCTTTGCCACAAAATGAAGAACAAAGTCTAGGTAAATAACTTACGTGTTTTATAAGATATGCTTATTTATTAACTTTTGTGTTTTATATCTAATACATGTTATTAAACATTCTGTCCTATTAATTGTTTTTATGGCTTTTAAGATGCTGAACAGATATTGAACATAGAAAAATCTACAGGCACTATTTTTATATCTAATAATAATGAAGTTGGTGAGATACATCAATACGTTGAAGAGAATACTTTGCCCCTGAATGAAGTACATAATCGAGGTACGTACCTATCTTCATGTATTTAAGTACATATTAGAGGTACCTACGTAACCTATCTGCGTATATTATTTTTGTGTTTTGGTATAGTGTGTATATTTAACTGTTTGAATTTCTTTTAAGGTGTTGATCAGGCAATAAATATGGAAAGTTGTACAGACTATAGGTTCGTAGCCAGCCAGCATGAGCCAGCAAATGAAGCTTCTAATCTAAGTATGATTTTTTATACCATTTTAATAAATTAGCTTGCTGCCCATCAACATGTTTTTCATAGTTCTAAATTATTTATGCAATAGCTTTATACGAGGTCTTCGTTTGCTTAGGTGGCGAGCTTATTGAAATTTTACGGGGAGGAGAAGATAAAGTTAAAATAATATACTAAATAACAGAGAGCCGTCACCATCAACCCCGCTTTCTAAAAATAATGCTTCGGAAGAAAAGAAGAAGTTGACAAGAAAGAGACAACGAAATCCCGAGGCATGGAAGAAAAATAAAAAGAAATGTTTGAAAAATTCAGGTATGGCTTACACTACTGAGAAAGGAAAATTAGTTAATGCTAAACAATTAAAACCTGGTTGTGGAGACAAATGTCGCTTGAAGTGTACACTGATGGTTAATGAGCAGCAAAGATTAGTAATATTCAATAATTTTTGGATATTAGGTGATTTGAATAGACAGCGAGATTTTGTCAAAAATGCTATGAAAGAAGTAAAGCCGAAATATTCGCTACATAATGCTCAGAGTAAAAGATCTATTAATGCGGCTTATCATTTAACAGTAGATGGTATAATTATAAGGGTATGTAAAAAGTTCTTTATGCACACTTTGGATATAGGGCACTCATTTATAACGACGGTATGTAAGAAAATAACATCATCGGGTATAGTCTTAGAAGATTTAAGAGGTAAGCATAACAAGAAAGGTAAACTATTACCTGACTTTGTTAAGGATGGAGTACGTGAACACATTAACTCATATCCTACTAAGGAATCGCACTACTGTCGAGCATCATCAAATAAACAATATTTTGATGGTGATTTAAATCTATGTATGATGTACAGGCAATACAAGAGTGGTGTAATAAAGAAGGTAAGCCTGAAGCTAAACAAGGAACGTATGAAAACATTTTTAGAACTGAATTTAATATAGCTTTTCATGTACCAAAGAAGGATCAGTGCTCTCTTTGCTGTTCTTATAATAATGCAACAACAGAACAGAAACAAGAAATGGAAAAGAGTTATAAAGATCATCTTACAGAAAAAGAGCTTTGCAGAGAAGAGAAGAGGATAGATATAGAAACATGCAAAAATGACAAACAAAAGATTATTTGTTGTTATGACTTGCAAGCGGTTCTTCAAACTCCAGCGGGTAATGACTCGCTATTTTTTTATAAGAGACGCCTTAATGTTTATAATTGTACCGTATATGACATCGTTAATAAATCTGGACATTGTTATTTATGGGACGAAACTTTGGGTGGAAAAGGATGTGACGAGGTAGGATCTTGTATTTTACAGTTTTTCAAAGAGTTTTGTCATGGAAAACATGTCATATTTTATACCGACAATTGCTCAGCACAAAATAAGAATAAGTATTTATTGTCATTATACTATTATGCCTTAAAAATGTTGGGTGTGAAATCTATAACACACAAATACTTTGTTGTCGGGCACACTCAGAACGAAGGCGATAGCGTTCATGCCACTATTGAAAGAGAAAAATCCCGAATATTAAAAAATGGTTCCGTGTTCGTGCCATCTCAATGGAGGACAATTATACAATGTGCTAAGAAGAAAGGTAATCCCTACCAAGTTCATGATTTAAATTATTCAGACATTTTTGATTGAAAAGAACTAATTGCACACTTTGGGAAAATTTTTACAATAAATACAGAAGGCGAGCGTGTAGTGTGGAATGATATCAAGAAAATATTTATGCAAGCTACTAATCCTTTCGCTATTTATTACTTGGATAGTTATAAACCTGACAGTACTATGAAATGCTTCAATGTTCGGCATAAAATGCGGGGCAAGCCTAACGAAACATTAGTTTTGACAAATAAATATCGCACTCGTCCTGGAATATCAAATCTTAAAAAGAAAGATTTGATTTCATTATGTGATGGTAACGTGATTCCAAGCGTTTATTGGGATTATTATAAAACATTGCCAGCGTCCTCAGATAGAGCTGACGATGACTAATTGTTCCATTTTTTATATTTTCTTTCTTATAAATAAAAAAATGTTATAAAACTATAAGTGTTTTATTAATTATTCTCTAAAAATGCAATTATTTGCTAAGGTTCTCTAGATTTCATTTTTATTTAAGACATTATTTAAGAAAAATACAAAGTTTTTTAATTCAGTACTGGTACATTAAAAAATAATCCATTATCAGAGGGATATTTGCATTCGATAAATTAATTCAGTAGTGGAACATTTCAAATATTTACTTATAATTAAAAAACAAATAATAAAAAATGAATGAATTTAATAGAAATCATAAATGTAAAGTCTAACCAAAATATAACAACATTAAAAACAATCCTTGTTTCTCTTAACACTTGCTAAATGGAAAAATAAGAATTTCAAATTTTTTATTGCTCGATATCTCACATTTACTCATTTTGAAATGTTCCACTACTGTTTTCGACCGACGATATGTATGCTAGAGCCATACTGCTATATCAGTAGTATAGTTGTAGCATGAACGGGTCAGCTCGTCCGGAGAAGGACCACACTCTCACGGAATACCAGCATAAAATTGCAGCTTATGCTGCTGTGTTTGTATGGTGAGTGTAGAGAACTGGAGACCCCTTTTACTGGAAACCAGACATTCTATCTTAGTCCTCACTCGTACCTCCTCACTGTGCTTGTTTGTCACCCTTAACATATAAAAAAAATTACAGTCCTGTCGATTGATTACATAAATAAAAGAAACTTCTTTTCAAACTAAACATTTGTGAATAATTGTACAAATGTTTATAATAATAAATCACGAATTTTGATCAAACTCTGGTTTACTTGATTTTTTCCTCCCTCTCTCTTTGTCTCAACTCCTGTTATTTTGAACTCTTGGTCCCTTGAGTTTCAAATTATCGAGAGTAGACTTTAGTTCAACAGTAGTAACAATAGAACAAACCTAGATACAATGAGATTGTTATTAAATGGATAACAGGTTTATACTTTTACATCATACATAACTAGATCTCAGACCTGTGTAAGCAAAAGCTGTATCACTTCCGATTACCTAAATTTATTTATTGTTTATGAAGTATTATTAGCAATAAAGTGGTATTTTTTTTTTATTTGTTGAAACTACATGAATAACAAATATCGCTTAAGATAATGATTTCTTATACAAATAAAAAATTTATAAATAAAATCTAATTTGTGAACTAAACTGTATATAATTAAACAAATCAAACAATAGTAAGATCAATAACAACAGTAATGTGAAATAAAAACTATTTCGTTACCATTGCTTCCTTCAATAACATCTACACTATTTTCCCTGGAGCATAACTTGCATTTAATTAGCAAGTTAGTCTCCGACCTTTTATGCTTAAGTGATACTTTTTCAGCTTCTGTGAGATCGTGAAATTTTTCTGATACTTCACCACAGTTTTCGCATTTTAATTTCAAGAACCACGAATAGTCAGGATGATTAGTGTATAAGTTTTCAATACATTCTAAAGATGCTTTGATTTGGAGAGCTATTTTCACCATTATTGAGAAGTATTATTTAATACAACTTTTTTCAAGACTCTTCACTTTGAACACTTTTACACCGCACGGGAAAAAACACGATAAAAGTTATATAGTTAATTTTTAAGGGTAAATGCGAAAACTATATAGTAATGTTCTCTGTGCCGAAAACGAAAAACATAATAACATGGAAACGTCAATGTCAATTGTCAAATTTGCTTCATAGATATATATAGACAATACGAGCGTAGACAGTAGTTACGTAGCTAGCGTTTTCTGGCATTTTCTAGCAAATTCTCCGCTAGGAGCATGGAGTATAGAGTCCATGGCTAGGAGTAAAAATATTCTGTGCGTCAAATAAATATTAGTGATCGATGGTCAAATCCTTATTTTTCTTTGGTTAAAGACTCGTAAGGTTGTACTTTTGCCAGTGTCAAGTTTAAAAAATAATCCTCTAATGCTTTACCTATAGTCCAGGCAGTGACCGTCGAAAAATTATATACAATACTAGCTGTTCCCCGCGACTTCACCCGCGTGTTATATGGGATTTAAATTTTTTTGCGCGGAACCCTAATTCTTTTTCTAAAATAAAAGTAGCCTAAGTTACTCCTTGTGACATCAGCTAACTGCCAGAGAAAATCCCGTCAAAATCGGTCCCGCCATTTCGGAGATTAGCTGGAACAAACAGACAGACAGACGGACAGACAGACAGACCAAAACTTTAAAAATTGCATTTCTGTTATTAGTATCGTATATACTTTCATATGCATTTTGTAAAAAGCTGTAATTTTGACATTACAAACAGACACTTCAATTTTATTTATTTGTATAGATATACTTTTTCATTTGCTGGGTATTATATTATAAAACGTAAGTGTAATTCTTTTTTTAATAGATAGTGTTAGATGAGTAAAAAATTAAAATTCGAGTCCCTTATTCTTGAAACATAACTGTTTGCCAGACCACCCTCAAAATATTTATTTTAACGATTTTTTTTCATTCCTCCTTTAAATAGTTTCAATGTAGTAGATGCAGCTATATTATGCTTGTAGCGCAAGTTGGTCGGCTCGACCCGAGTAGGATCACTGACCACTCTCTCACTGAATATAAGCGTAAAATAGCAGCTTAATGCTGCTGTGTTTCGTATGGTGAGTATATTGAACCTGAGACCCTTTTAATTGTAAACGAGGCATTCCATCTTAATCCTCAGAGGTGACAACGCATCAGCATTTTGATTCTTAATCGAGGATAAATGTAGTTGTCTATGAGTCACAGCATCCACTTACCATCAGGTGGACTGTGTGCCCGTTTGTCACCCTTGTTCTATAAAAAATTGTCTGGTACGTTAATATTTGACCAAAATCTCACCACACAAGGAATAAGAGGGTCATTTGCTGCTACTACTACAGTTAACAACTGCGAGTTTTTCTTGTTCTTATTATTTTTTTAATTTTTCTTAATAATTATTACAGAATTACTGATATGTGTGTGTGTTGGACAAATAAGCAGTGTAAGGTGGCTCCCACTAGGTGGAGTGACGACCAGGTAAGTAGATAAGATGATAAGATACGCAGAAGTCAATTGATGCAGGTGGCGCATGACTTTTTTGGTGTTTTTTGATCTATACTAAGCAGTGTACTTGCGAAAGGCTGAAATATTGACATCTTATTATTATTATATATTCGCAGGCAAGCAGTTGAGACAACTGATAATGCCTGTATCCTGTTTGTGCCCACTAGTTACTCCTTTTAAAAATCTCAGGCTAATATGCAAATATCACCATTTAACTTAATACATTATTTTACATTTTAATAAATAAATAATTAATATGAATTACTTACTGTTATTAGGAATAAATTGTCTATATATATATTAATTTCCTTAAACTAAATTTTATATTAACATAAAAAAATTTGACGAATTTATAATTAATTATATGCATAGGTATTAAGCGTCTCCCATACATAAGCGGCTTGCGGTGGCGGCTAACCGCGAGCCGCGGCTCCATCCGCTGCAACAACACACCACCGCGGTCGCAGTGGCGGTCTGAAGCGCCATTAGTGTGGTGTCTGTGCTACGATCGGACGTCAGTAAACATGAAAAACCGTGACGAAGTCTTATTATATTCAGTAATATTATAATATATTTTGTTTTTAGTCCTAATGCTTTTGTGATCACGATGCGAATTATCATAAAGTACTGGATGATTTTGCACTGTTTCTATTAAAATCTCTGAATTTAGCACCATTTTTCACGCGGTACTGTACCTCGGCCTGGCACCTGCAAGTTTTTTGGGAGCACCAAGACGAAAAACCTTAATTCTATTACAGTTAACTTTGTGATAGTGTTTATTATAGCCACACATTCGCTTACGTCGTGTTTCTTCCTCTTGTCGGCTATATCACTCGTTGATTCGAGTGCATCATAAATAATAAGATTGATTGCTCTGTTTGTTCTTTCTGTCATCTGAATTACTAATTCAGTTACAAGCATACTTTGACGCATGCGCAGTTGCTGTACTTTTTCAGAAAGCTCATTTAGTATTTTCATTATTTTTTATTACACGTACTTCAGTAGGTGACAATCCGTGGCATTCCTCACATAAGAGAATTTTATAGGAATCGCATGTTACAGATGGTTTTTTATAATTTGGTGGTTTACTGCACTTAGAACATATTCCAGATGGTAAGTTGGTATTTTTTATTTGAACTCATTTTTGGTAATTATTTCAATTGTATTCCTGACAACACTGGATTGAATGTAAAATAAAAAATGTTGAGGGTGTTTAGAGAACCTTTCTTCTTAGATATGGTGTGAAATATTAATTTATTTTTCACTATTTTGGATGTATGCTGTTTTACACCGAAATAACATTTGCACGGAACCCACTAATATTGTCAAGCACTTTTAAAATTGTTATAAACAGTTCCATCTACTTTTTGTTTAAAAACTGAATTTATTCTGGACAGCCTATTTACTACACCTCAGCCATTGGACAGTTCTCCCACTTACTTAAAAAAATGCTGGTGACAAACTTTAATACTTAACCTTACAATATTTATATTATTTAAATGTAGATATAACGATATAGGTAGTAATACACTCACCATTTAGTATGAAGACGAGTCTAATAATTATACTGGCGGCAACTTCTATTAAAATTTAATGAACTTCTTCCCCAAAAACTCTGCGTGGCTGCATACAGCATAGTGGCGATGTAAGAATATTATCCGCTACCGCACGTCATCCCGTGGGTGTAGTAAGAGGTGACGGAGAAAAACAAATCAGATGGGCAGCAACATCTTCCTTATAACTACTAAAAATGAAAAAACTGCAGCTATATTATGGTTGTAGCACAAATGGGTCGGCTCGACCGGGGAAGGACCTGCTCTCACAGAATACCAGTGTATAATAGCAGCACAATGCTGCTGTGTTTCGTATGGTGAGTGTAGAGAACCGGAGACCCTTTTTACTGAAAACGAGGCATTCCATCTTAGTCCTCACGGGTGACAACGCGTCTACATTATGATTCGTAATCGAAGATAGATGTAGTCTATGGGCCACAGCAACCACTTACCATCAGGTGGACTATGTGCTTGTTTGTCACCCTTATCCTATAAAAAAAAACCCGCTTGCCAAGCATAGCAACTATGGCGAATATATTTTTGAGCGGATATAGGAGAAGCGGTACTGGGATTAGTGGTGACAAGAATAGTACACGCACTGAGTGCGGGAGATGCATTTCAAACTTGGTAAGACACATCATTTTATTTCATTGAGCGGATATAGACAAAGTAAAGTTTACTAACTTTAAGGTGAAAGCTCTAGGGTGACCCGCGAAATTCAAATTTTCTTGCGTTTTTTGGAATTTGCAGGTCAGGGTCAGGTTGAATGTTTAATAAAATATGATTCGCGACCGTAACGAGTATGTGTTTATAGAATTATTATCATTAAAATCACTATTACAACCCTCTAAGTTCATATAATCCCTTTGAATGAGTTTTTCTGGAAATAGCCATACATTGGAATTATACAAACATAGACGGTTGTATTGATGATTATAATTCTGTAAATACATACTCGTTACGGTCGCGAATCATATTTTGTTAAACATGCAACCTGACACTGACCTGCAAATTGCAAAAAACGTAAGAAAATTTTAATTTCGCGGGCTACCCTGGCGCCTCCACCTTAACAAAACTTTTCACAATATGCTAATAAAGTACTTGGGAGATTTTGCTTACAACTTAACTTAGCCCTCGTTGTTTGAAATTGGATGCAGATGTCCATGGATTGCAGTAGCCACTCAACATTGTGTGGACGGTAAGTTCGTTTGTCAATGTAATTTTATAAATATTTAAATGCACAGTAACACATTTGACGCTGCAGCCCGCAGCACAAACTTTACAACCACGTAGCTCTCCCACATCCAGTCGTGTGCGAAAAGGCTACAGGTAACTATATATGTATGTATATAGAAATGATTAACCGACTATCGCAAACATGAAGTTGGGCAGGCGATCAGCGACGGCGGTCGTGGTGTTCATAAGCTGCACTGTACTGTTAGCGCGGCCCATCAGCGATTGTTGACTTTTTCGACGATTGTTTAATTTCATTCATATTTAAATAATTGTATGTACTATTAATTTTTCAATAATTTATTCGTAATTCCTTTTACTTCTTGTACCAAGGGTACCAATTAAATAAACTTTTTTCTATAGTATAGTATTTCTGCCTCATAATATAATAGCTTGATATACATTATTTAGAGTTCAACTACAAAATAAGTATTTGCAATTTTTTGTATTAATACACTTTTCACTTGTCTATGCAAATGTTAAAAAGCTGAAGTTAATTGGATACATGTTTATGGAACATTTTTTATAATTCACTGTCTATCCCCGAGGTAATGGTGCCAATTTTATAGAGTTGCCCTGCGCATCTGTATGAAGGGTTAGACCCATTTCTTGTAAAACTTCATTGTCTACAGGCCCTCGCAGGGTTGTTCTTGATATTATCTCCTGTAACGAAATAGTTGGAAATTTTAATTAATTTAGCGTTCAATGATTATTTGGTTATAGAAAATGTAAATTTTACATATTTCCATTGAGAGGCATGAGCATCTCTTATATTAAAAAATTCATTTGCCAGGAGGTTAGTACTAGATATGTCGCACCTCCGACACAGCTAGCAGTGGCGGATTTGTACATTTTATATTTTTCATATAGAAGAGATGGTACAGTCCATCGGAGGCCACAAGATATTTCAGGCATTTATCTTAGTCAACTTTCATATCAATACTATCATCACAGCCCTTCACAAGTCTACAGCTGAATACAGGCTTTCCCCAAGATATAAACCAAGCACGGAACTAACTGAGCCTTATGTCTTACTAGGTGTCGTCATTCCATCTAATGGCTCAAGGCTCCCCTTCCTGTACTCTAGACATGTGTAATACTACGCTGCGTCGCGAAATTGCGCCACCTCAGTTCACTGATTCGGATGTGTTAACCACGGAGCAAACACAAAGAACAGGTGTTGAAATTAGATTTCACTATGTAACAACGCGTGACAGTTTGCGGGGTAAGGGGGTGTTAAGCCTCGCCCACTTAATTATTTCCATCTACCGATAAATAGTAAAACCACTCGCATCGTTCCATATCGATGTTGCAATTTAGTTTAGCTACCTTGACGACAGATGACGGCCTGTTCACAAAATCATTATGAAAGGTATAAAAATAATATTATGGCGATTAAAAATTCTTAGGAATGAATGCAAAACAAATTTCAGCGCCATCGTATGATTATTTTACCAAAACTGAGCAACCAATATTTTTAAGTGCCGCCATCTAGTGTCGAATATATTTCATTATATTTGAATGCCGACGCAGAGATTTTTCTAGCACTATTTTAATAAATTAGGTACAAATGAAATATGATGCCATCCATAGCATCAGAGCTTCTATGTAAGTAGTTTTTACACGATAATACATAACACTTCATCCTTTTTTCTTAATTCTACGAAAATACACCGATTTGCGATTTTCGACACAAGCGCACAGTACGAATGCTGACAGTATACTAACAAAAGCTACGCCCACTGTGATGACGTCAGGACCTAGTTAAAATCACAGTGCACAGTTGCTTAGGCCGTCTCCTCTTTGTATTTGCTCCGAGGTATTAACTCACTTCTTCAAAATGTGTTAGCACTCAGCGCAAGACCGGCTAATTCGAAAAGTGTTGAGTTGCCCGCAGAATGCAAAAGGGTGTTATTGAACAACTTGTGGTATTGCACGAATCTTATTAAATATTATTTTTATAAACTGCAACTCCGTGAAATGTAAAAGAAGTGACAATGATAAGTATTCTTTTTTTTTCTACATTTATTTTTATTTTACTTACTGGCCAGAAGGTATTATTTTGACAGATGGCCGAGTTGAGAGCTGTGTGTAAAATGTGTTGCGTCATGGCGCAATTTTGAGTTAACACAAAGAGCCGACGCATTAAATTACGCCTGAGTTACAGTTACAGTTACAGTTAACGCAAGAAATTTCGCTGAGTTCACTTTTTAGTACCAATGTCTAATATACTCTGCTTGATAGCCAAGAACCTTTAGTAGTGTAGTTTAGTAGTGTGTGTAGTTTAGTTGTAACAAAATAACTGACAACCAACTAACAATTCAAATATAATGGTGTACTTTTCCTCTCTTTGTCGATCTTAGAAGTAAGCTAGACAGATGCCGGAAGACAAAGTTGAATGAGAGCCTATAACAATGGGTTTTCACAAATGTACGTTTTGCCACTATGTTTTTTTTAAATTTATTTACCATATTACAAAGCATTACAAAAAAAAACTATACTAAAAAGTCGCATACAGAAAACCACTAAGGTTTGTGATGACGCGACCAGAGTCGACGTTACATTAAGTATAATTAATATTGTTTGTAAAAAGGAAACATTACAGCCTAATTAGGACCTGAGCAAACGCATATACGCTGTATTATGTATTATGTACCATCTCGTAGCCTAGTTGTCAGAATACTTAGCTTCAACAAGCTACAACAGTCGAAAAAGTCATGCAAAAAGCTAGCCGTTCAACACACCAAGCCGATCTTTCTTCTACTTATTTATTGGTCTGTAAAAATTTACAGCTGGACATGAGATCTCCCGTTGTATTAGAATTTGCCTTAATCGCCGCGCTTTTAAGGGGATTGAAAAACGCAGTACCAGTCCTTGCAACTTTGACGCTGCAAGGACTTTACGTCTCACGTGGTTATACAGTCATCTATTGGAAGCAATATGATATTTCGGGTTTTCCTATGTATACACACACACACACGCACGCACGCACGCACGCACGCACGCCCGCACGCACGCGTACGCACACGCACGCACGCACACACACACACACACACACACACACACACACACACACACACACACATTATATATATATATATATATATATTAGTTAACTCTTACGACATCCACTGGACAATAAAGGGTGATGGACTCCCTTATTGCCTCCACACGGCACCAGATCAGACTATGGCGTCTATAGAAACATAAAATGTATTTTGCCGAATGAAACAGTCAAACTTTTACATTGAACTGGCAAGAATTTGCTTATAATAATAATAAAAAAAAAACTTCACCTGATTTTCTGGACAATTCTCGCATAAATTACGAACGGCAAAAATGACCCACTGCATTATAACTGTATATATAATTTATAAGGATTATAATTTCAAACTGCTTTGAATGTATCAAACACAATTCTTGCATAACGAGTAGATTCGCTTTCTTACTATTTATGTGATATTGGTAAGAATAATTTTATAATGAAATCACTGAACTCTAAAAGTGGGATCAACATTTACGTTTGAATATACTTAGCACTGAGGCGTTAAGTGCACCAGAATATTGTAGGACTTTCCCCAATTTATTCAAGACTCGATGATTTTCGCATTTACATGATCTACTTTTTTCTTATACCGCTGATACAGAGCTGCAAGCGCTGTATGTATAAGTCGCGGCACGTATCTCTAGCGATGACCGTTATTGTGCATAAGTCGAAAATAAGATATCATGGGGTAGTAAGCGGGTCGCGGGGCGGGAGTGCGTATTATTCGCACGCGCTGATTGGCTTTCCAGTCGCATTCCGTCCCCCATATTGGTACGTGATACGTGCGCGAAAGTACCATGCGCAACTATCCTCTCCACGTTTCGTTCAGCGCTAGATTTACGTGCCGCGACTTGTATCATTTAAATAATTCACATTACACATAAGATTTTTGCAAGCGTGCTTTCACTTTGCATGTTCACAAACAAACACTTAACCGTTTGAAGGTTTTAAATAAACTTGTTGTTTGTTGCTTAGTACAGTGCAAGTTCAAATTTTTAGTTGTACTCAGGAATAGTGAGCATGAAAATATTGATTAATTGTCTCTTAACTACTTATTTACTAATTAAAATGCTGTTTAGATTTTCGTTCATTCATTCACTATCATCATCATTACAACCCTTTACAAGTCCAACATAGGCCGACCCCCTACATTGCCTCAAAGAAGGATATTTGCCATAGTTAACACGCTTGGCATGTGAGTTCTCATCAGGTTTCTTATTATTTTGGGTTTTTTCCTCTATCGCTTCTTACGACACTGTCGCGTATCGCAATTCTGGTTCTATTCTAAATTTTTTAATCGTATAATATATGATTTCATATGTCATAGTAATTATATTTATGTAGAAAAGGATACGCGGATTGCGTGCGTCAATATTACAGCAATCAAGCAGTACGGGAATCACTTCCAATTCACGCATCTGGAACAAAAAGTGTTTAATTAAACATTTGAGTTCACTTTACATAGATTTAGAGAGTAATGGCCAAATATACAAACACTGCTCAAGTTAAAGATGCTGTTAAGTCTCGTGCTGTCTCTATCACTTTATTGACGTGACCGTGATACCAAGAGACTTTACGATATCTTAAAATTCAGAAGCATTTGAAAATTTGGAGAGATAATAGTGTTTTATAGTTTTCTTACGTGGTAGAGCCATGCTGCAGCTATATTTCTGGTATAGTTGTAACACGAATGGGTCGGCTAGACCGGGGAAGGTTCACGCTCTCACAGAATACCAGCGTAAAATAGCAGCTTAATGCTGCTGTGTTTTGTATGGTGAGTGTAGAGAACCGGAGACCCTTTTTACTGAAAACGAGGCATTCCATCTTAGTCCTCACGGGTGACAACGCATCTGCATTTTGATTCATAATCGAGGATAAATGTAGACGTTTATGGGCCACAGCAACCACTTACCATTAGGTGGACTGTGTGCTCGTTTGTCACCCTTATCCTATATAAAAAAAACCTTTTTGAAGAACCCAAATATATAAATGTTGGCGGCAATACACATTAAAAATGTAAGGTACATTCTACATACGTTTTTCTGCTGTGCTCAGGTCTACACTCCTTACAAAAAGGGATTTTAAAATACCCACTGTCCTAATGCGTGTTATTTGGTGGAAGATGGTCGTTTGTCGATCACTAACTAATAGGTACGAATATACGTACTTATTAGTTTGTGATTATGGTGCAGCATACAAACATACAATAACAAAAATCGATTTATCGTTTGTATATTGCAAAAATATTAGTCTGGCTACTACACTATTTTTTTTATAAAATGAAGTGACTTACGAACTTACAGTCTATATGGGTGGTAAGCAACCTACTTCAAACAACGAAAGTTACAGATGCATTGTCACCTCTGAGGACTAAGATTAAATGCTTTACAAATTGTAATTATACTAGTTCTCCCTACCCTTAAGACTGCAACTATATAATAGTACTATTTGGTGGTAGAAAATAGGAAAGAGGTTGATATATACCCAAACAGACTCCTTGAAAGAAAAAGAAGTTCTACCACGTAGTATTCTATACTGTATAGTGTACTGCGTATATACTGTACTAGGTGTATAATCTTTATATATAAAAATTACGTGTCACATTGTTTGGCCGCGATGAACTGATTTCAATGAAATTTTGCACACTATATGCAATTTGGTCCAACTTGAGAGATAAGATAGTTTTTATCCCTATAAGTCACCCTCAATATTATTTATTACGAATTTAAGGATTTTTTATATGAAGGGTCGTCGAAAAGGGCAGAACAACGTCTGCCTGGTCAGCTAGTGTACGTAGGCGGGATGATAAGTAAACTAGCCACTGCTATTTAAAAAGTTAAAATAAAAAAATACATATGTCATTTTTAAATTCGTATCTCTGGCCACCTGTGTTCTAAATTTGAATTTGGTGGCGTGAAAATTTTATTGATTTTTTGTTATTTGAAAATGTATTTCGTCAACTGTTTTCAAAATAAAATTGAACAAAGAGCGGTGATAGAGTTTCTTCATATAAAGGGCATGAAGGGGAAAGATATCTATGACGAGTTAAAGAATGTTTTGGGTGTATGTGCTCCTTCTTATGCCACAGTGAAAAACTTAGTGGCTGAGTTTAAACTCGGTCGTACATGTGTCCAAGATAAAGCTCGCCCCGGACGTCCAAAAAGCGTCGCGACTCCGGAAATGGTCGTGAAAGTACACAATATGGTTTTAGCAGATCGACGATTGAAGTTATCTGAAATAGCTGACACTACAGGTATCTCAAAAGAACGGGTACATCATATCCTAAGTGAGTAATTAAATATGAAAAAGTTATCGGCCCGTTGGGTGAAGTGATTGCTTACGCACGATCAAAAAAGGATTCGGGTGGTAAACTCAAAAGAATGTCTGGACCGTTTTCAGAGTAATAAGGCCGATTTTTTACGTCGATTTGTAACAGCAGATGAAACATAGGTTCATCATTACACGCCAGAATCAAAAATTCAATCAAAATAGTGGACTCAATCCGGATGCCCGGCTCCAAAAAAAGCCATGGCTGTAAAAGTCGGCTGGAAAAGTGATGGCTTCCGTCTTTTGGGATGCAGATGGGATCTTGATGATAGATTACCTTCCCAAAGGTCAAACAATTAATGGAGAATATTACGCTAATCTTCTAGATCAGCTTTATCAGTGTATTCTGCTAAAACGACCAGGTTTGGCGAAAAAAAAAACCATCTTCCATCAAGACAACGCTAGGGTTCACACATGTGTTACAGCTATGGCAAAAATCGAAAACGAATTGAAGTATGATTTGCTGCCCCACCCATCTTGTTCGCCTAATCTAGCTCAAAACTGTTTTGGGCGGACAGAAATTTGCCACAAATGATGAAGTCATAGCCAAATACATAGGAGTATTTTGCAGGCCTCGAAAGAAATAATTTTATGGAAGGCATTACTGCTTTAGAACGAAGATGGAATAAATGCGTAGAGGTTCACGGAGACTATGTCGAAAAATAAAATTAATTTTATCACGGAAAGTTAAGTGTTTTCTTATTAGGCTAGTTACTTATCATCCCGCCCTGGTATAATATATTGTACTATGGTCGATATTCAGAGACAATCTTGAGTTAAAGTTCAAACTTCATAATGTCAATATTTGAGTATATATAGACAATAGTGTTACACAAATTTTGACATTGTGAAGTTAGAGCTTACGATTGTGTGAATACCGGCCTTAGTCAAAATGTATTTAAGGAATGGCATATTACAATTATCTCTTTACCTGCTTTTTGTTCTCCGGATGTTTCCAACACAGGTTGGCCAGTGTTCTTACTAGAGCTGCCTTAAAACCAAATGCAACATGACGTTCCACAGTTTCAACAGAAGTAACAGTTTTCTTGGCTGTAGTCATGTCAATGGCGCCCAATCTTTAATGTAATAATAATGGAATTAAACATAATGCAAAGATAAAACAAAACTAAATTAACCTGAGTTAATTCAATATGAACAAAATATAAATTTAAAAAAATATGAACTTTTTCATGGTGGTGTAAGAATAACTACTATCCCATTTCATTCTGTGGGTGCGGTGAGAGCCGACAGTGGGAAACAAATCAGAAGATGGACAGCAGTGTCTTCCTAATAACGACTAAAAATAAAAAATTGCGGTTGCTTACCCACTTGCCAAATGTGGCAACTATGGCAATATACCCCTATGAGACAATCTATGGGGGAGGCCTATGTTCAGCAGCGGACTTCAATAAACTGTATCGGTATCGTATGAACCGTGTCATATTTCAGAATTTACTGAATGGGTGAAAAAATAATAGGAATGATACACCTGAATGTTAATGCATATGTCTTGACATTGATTTCATAAATTTTTATACTTTTCTTTGAGTTTTCTATTACAATTAATGATAGAGAGGTCTACTTAACTAAGCCAGCTGCTATAATGTTTTCCTTACAATGAATTCTATTAATTTAACTGCTAGTCTTTCATAAAAAACTTACCATGTAGTGCCGGTGTAAGTAGGTGACAGAAGGAAATATCCAGGAGATGGGCAGAACAGGATCTTTTTTAATACAACTAAATGAATAAAAACTGCGATTGCCAGCCTGCCAAATGTATCAACTATGGCAAATATGACAATCTATGGGGAGGCCTAGATATATAGGTGGACTTTTTGATATGTGATTGTAACAGTTACTGCTGAATACTATGTGGTTCTAAGATATTTTAACACACTGAAAAATATGAAAAACCACTTCTAACAAAAAATTTTAATTTATGATACTAAAATTACTAATTAGAAAAAAAAAACTAAATGTTATTTTATAGTTTTAAGTTTTACTACATTTTTATTTTGACATAGTGGCCACCTTGGCAGGCATGTTGGTGACCGCAGTTTTTTTTTAAATTTTGACTTGTTATCAGAAATATAATGCCACTACTCAGTTGATACAGATTCACGGTTGATTCATATAAATTATAACCAAGATTTCACTACACCCACCTTGCTTTATGGGTCTCCGGTGAATCAATTTTTACAGAAGGTACTTTATTGCTTGTCTCTTCAATCTTAACTTCTTTGGCCGGCTCTGATTTTTTTTCAGCATTTGAGGTATCCCCGCGTGTTTTTTCTGATGAAATACCTAATATTTTCTGCAGCTGCTCACTTAAATCAAAATCTGTAGACAAATTCTGGCTTTTCTTTACTTCTTTTGGCGTATCTGGAGATTGTTTCTGTGATTCAGTTTCCGGTGGAGCATCAGACAGTGGTGGGGATATCTCACTGGGTGAAGCTTTTACAACTTTGGCTTCTTCTCTTGGCACATGTATTTCTGTAGGTGGGTCATTTGGTGAGCTATCTTGAGAATCTGTTCTACTGGTTTCTTGCAATTCCAGTCTGGGTTGTAGTCCAACTGGAATAACTTCCGCTATAGTATTCATGCTCGCTGATGGTGATTGTGCATCAATGATTAAAGGTGGTTCATTATCTTCTCCTATATCTATCTTATGTTCGAGACTTACCCTTCTAGTTGGCAATGATATTCGATCATCAGTTTTTGGCACGGAACTACTTCTTTTGAACGCAACCTTTGTCAAATCACTGTCGATTTTGACGTTAGGGTTGCATTCTGGACTTCTGCTTTTATTATCAGGCAAAGGATCAAGAAATTTAAGAGGCTGTAGGTTGTCGAAAGTATTTAATGTGTCTATTTTATCTAGGTATGGGGGATTTTCATTGCATTCAAAGTATTGTTCACTGCTTTCAGACTCTGTGCATTCTGATGTTGTTTCATTACATGACAGCATGTTATCCGCTGAATCATTCTTACAGAGTGGAACTGTAATAATAAACATTCACTTAAAAATTGAGTTTCATGTAGTAATTACTTCCCAAACATTATACGCTATCAACCTTAAAGATAAATACTATAATCCTATAAAGCATAAAAAAAGCATTAATTAGTGTCCGACCGAAACCAGATTTTCCAGATTCAGACCTATCAGAATGAATAAGATGCCTCTGCTTGAGTTATCAATAAGTTCAATGTATCAATATTATTGTATAAAATGAGTTAAATACAATTTTTTTACACATAAACTCAGGGCTAGGCACTGGCCTTAGTTTTCACAGTACACAAACAACTTGGATTAGATCCGCGTCGGCGTCAGTAAAATTGTAAGTGTAAATTATAATTTTAAGTGCAAATTAACCACATACTCTATTGTGAAGGAAAACATAATGAGGAAACCTGCATATCTGAAGATATATATACATATCTTTGAAATATGTTTTTAATTGAAAAAAAAAATCAAAGATATGTGAAGTCCACCAACACGCATTGGGGCAGTAACGCAGACATTTCCTTGCCTTAAAACTCTCTCAGAAATGAGAGCTCTGTGTCTCACAGGGGGTCGAATACAGGATATAACTTCACTTTTACATTTTATACACAATAATAATTTTAAAATGTACATAGTAATATATATATAAAATAAAATACATTGTAAAATAATAAATAATTGCCTCATAAGGGAGATATTTGCCATAGTTGCCACTCTTAGCAGTTGGATTGGAAAACAAAAACATTTATTTAATTATTTTGAGGTTTTATCAAATGCCACTGCCCTGTGATGATATATCATAGTGGATTGAAAAATTACTGAGAAACAAAACATTAAGCTTATAAATTTTGATTATTTAAGTAACAAATGATTATAGTACATTTTCATTATCTAAGAAAAAACAAATATTCTACATACTTTCTGGTGGAACATTAGTTGCTGATATATTTTCATCATTGATAAGATGTTTTCCAGTTGCCTCATAAAGTTTATTAATAGAAGAGAAAAAGTTTTGACTTTCCTTGCCTAACTTATGAATTGCACGTAGCAGAACTGTAAAGAAAATAGGTCACTTCATCAAAATCCTTTTATAAATCATGAACCAATATGCAACTTTATTGAAGCACTATTTACAATCCTATTATTACAATGAAAATTATAAATATCATGTACTCTAATGGTCTCATTCATAAAAATTCTTACAACACTTTTAAAGCAATCAATTTTATGTAAAGTCTCATGTTTTTATTCTATAACTCGGAATTAAAAAAATGCTACATAAAGCCATGTCCAAGAAGTATCAATATTTAATTTAATTTCTGTCCGATGTCAATGTGGTATTGATGTTATTTACTAAATTAAATTAAAAATAAGAGTTTATTAAGTAGGATTTTGAAAGGAATAACAGATTTCAGGAAGCTATAACTTTTGTGAATTTCTTTTTTTTCTTGCAACTGTGAGAGTATTGCACAATCAGGATGTTTGCCAGGCTTTAATTTTTTAAGAACAAGACCATAATATGTCACCAATAGTATATAGCTGATAATGTATGTATATAATAATTAACATGATAACTTACAAGCACAGTTAATAAAAAGAGATGTATCATTTTGCAAGCAATCCATGTAAGCGTCCATACTTGATGCAGTGGCTATTATTTCAAGCAAAAATACAACTTCTTGAGGTTCAATGCTGTTCAAATACTTATCCACCGTCTTCAGAATACAATCAGATTTGCTTTTAAATTCATGTGCCATAAATTTAACAAAGTTTACTGACACATTAATATCTTGTGATTCTGTTGACATTAAAATATTGTAGGCTAGATTTAACACAAGTATTCGACACTCTGGATCCAATTTTGCATACAATTTCTCTATATATGTATTCTCAACCCCAATTAAATATTCTATTATCAAATGTGGGTACTCAGTATTGCCATTGTTGTACATATAAGCTAATGAATTTAGTAAAGAAACATCATCTGGTAATACATTGGGTTGACCCAAAAGTATATTATACACAATCATTGCAGCAGCTGAAGCTATTTTATCATTCTGTCCAACTAAGGAATTTAATATGATTGCATCAAATTTATTCCAAATCATAATTTGATTGAATGGGTTATTGACTACAAGATTTCCAAGTGTTTGCACAAGGACAGTCATGCAAGTTTCAAATTTCTTCTGTAATTCCTCATTAAGTATCTCTACACTTGGATGCTGGTACTCTGTAGCTAATATGAGCATAGAATCTAGTATTGACAGTTCTTTGGAAATGTATGTTTGCATTTTTGTGCCAGCAGCAGCACAAGAACGGACGAGGCGTAGACATTGCTCAGCAACAGCAAGCGTACTTCTATTGTATGAAGCTTGTTCAACATCTAGCCTCATAATATGCAGGACTTCTGCTATCAAACGTAATGTATACTCTGATGCTTTTTTGCTGGAAATGTGAAATCAATATGTTAGATAATATAGTAAGTACCACATAGTACAACTATTACTCTTCCTAGACATCCTTCTGGGTGAGTAGTACCTTCTTATCTATGTTGTTCTGGTCATAAGGGTAGGGAGTGCCAGCATAATTGCAGGCTGTGTGGCATTCCATTACATTCATTACAAAACCAATGCCAGTTTTGTTAATGTCCCAGTTTAGTTGTTAGTTTAAAAAGATACAAGATGAAAATATTTATTTTATGCTCTCACTCTCAATATTTTCATTTTTTAAGTTTTTTCTTATAGAAATTAAGACTGTAAAGTAGTATGCAATTCACCTGAAGATAAATGGATACTATGGAATATTAAAAGCATACCTATCATCTATCCTCGACTAGGAAAGAAAATGCAGATGTGTTCTTACAACTGAGGACTAAGATGCAATGCTATGTTACCAGTAGCCTCAGGTTCTTTACTCACTATACGAAAAATAGCTAGTTACTCCTAGCTATTATAGTTTATTTAACACTGGTAAACTGTAAGAATGAACCGACCCCTTCGTGCTACAGCCCTATAATACGATACAGCTTAACACTACTGTGGCGGTGGCCGTTACAAATAATTTTAAAGAAAAATTCCTTACGGTCGTAAGCGTCCGGTTTCTGCATCCCTTGACAGCTGCGCTTCAGCACGTAACATTTCCTCTACGGCATCCCATTCTCCTGTTTCCAACTGAAAGTTGATTAATTTCGCATCTAAAAGTATCTCTTCGGCAAACCAAACGCTTTTATCTCGTGACATTTTGTAAATATATCCACAACGAATACCCTATTCTCGTAGAAAAAATCTCATCTCATTACAAACAAAATAGTAGACCCCGATAGACCCTAAACAAATTACAAAAATACAGTGTGGTGTGCAAAGAGTATTGGTATAGTACACAGATTACTGTATACCCACAGAACACTAATACCCTTAGGCGGGAAGAATGTCAACTTCAAACAAAGAAAATGGCACCAATAATGCACGCCATCTCTGTCGTGCCCCCTAAAACTTTTTGCGCGGGAATTTTGACACGTGATTTTTTTTTAGTTGTCGTCTTGGTTGTTTCGTTTCAAAAATGGCTTAAGAATGTAAAATACCATATAGATAGATATAGCTTGTAGTTTTTCGTTTCAATGATATATATTGCTAAATTAAAACGAAAACAAAAGCACAAAGTTATTTGTAAATTATGGTACTTTACATTCATAAACCACTTTTGAAACGATTAGCAATCATTTTAATATAAAAAAGGAACTATTTTTCAAATAAAAGTGGTTTTTGAAATACATATTTTTTATTTACATTACATACATTGGTACATAGAAAAACCGTTGGTACATTGATGGACGTAAGTGACGGAGTAATTAACTAATTTTTAACATGGCATATGTAACATGACATTTAAGCAAAATGGAAAGTAAAAGTACATTGGTTTTATATAAAAAAGATTAGACAATCTAATATAAACACTTTTTTCTAACAAGAAAACATTATTTACATTCACATTCTACAAACAAGGCAATAGCTTTGCAATATTATGTCTAAACTCCAATAACCTGATTATATTATAGATGCCACCAATAATATTACATTTGTAGAAATTATTTTCGTTATGTTATTGTTATTGACTGCATTAAAAACTAATAAGTCAACATTTTCATGTCATTAAGTAGCACTACCTGCTGCAAATCCATCCACGAAAAACAAAAAGGATAAAGATATGTTGATAAAAATGAAATATCATCTGAGAAAAATTAACAAGCTTCAAAAAACTGTAAAGCATCTAAAGAATGAAGCATTTCTCAAAGTATTGAGCAAAAATGATTCCGTAAATGAAATATTAAAATGTAAAATATCCCCCTCTTTTTCAAACTGCTCTTCAAAGAAAAACTGATATCCTGCAGAATAAATAAGATGTTACATGGATATATACGTAATTAACTAATTTTTAACTTTATGCATGTAAACAGTTCTGAACAGCTCTTAACTAAATATCGATTTAATAGTTAAGTAGTTATTATTATTTTTCGATAATACAGGTAGATGTCTAAGTGTCACAGCATTTACTTGCTAAATTCTATAAAAAATACAAATGTATGTGTTATCCATATCCCACAGTAAACTTAAAAGTTAGTTGCATAGCAATACGATTGTTTGTAGAGTGACTAATAAACTATCCGACATTAAACGATAAAAAGACTGTAAGGTATGATTCGCACCAGTAAAGTGATAGTTTCGAAAATACTATATTCGAAATCCAAAAGTGGCTCTATATGGCAAATATTTAAAAAAATAACTTAAATTTAAATCCTACCTGCCTCGCGGAAGCAAGGAATATCTGACCCACTCCGACTAAAACTCTCAGATGTTTCATCTTCACCACTTATCGGCAGGACTACGGGTACACTTTTACACACATCCGTAGCCTCATCAGCGCTAGTCACTCCTTGGCAGCCTCTCTCGAGAGAGGACAAATTCTCCCTCTCCTTTTATCTCCTTATATAATGTCACCACTGAAGTGATTATGACTGTACATACAGAAAAAGTAGTTCCATGTAATATCTTATTTATTCTGCAGGATATCAATTTTTCTTTTAAGAGCAGATGCAGAGTACTCTTCTGCAAATTGCCGATTTTTCAAAATACAAAATCTCTTCATACAAATGTGAAATACGCTATTAAATAAGTAATCTATATTCATATCTTTATGTTCTGGACATTTATCGAGAAACGCCCAATTTATTGAGTTTTTGAACAAAACTTTAATTGTCCCTTTTAATTTTTTTTTATATGCTTCTGCCTCTAAAAAATCATAAATCATCGTAGCACTACTTTCAATACAGTTAATGAGGTTTTTAGAGGCGTATTTAAGGGACTTTTTTAGATCACTATATTCTTTAAAGTCAATAAAAGTATGTGATCTCTCTTGTGTCTCAGATACAAAAATTTTTTTACAAATTTCACATTTGTTGAGATTATTTTTTACTATAAACCCACAGACATAGGCACATGCTTGTATTTCGCCACTGCTTTCTTCCAAGCTACATTCAAATGTAGAATTTACACTTTCTTCTAACTCATCGGTTAAAATTGTGGCATAAGCAGTGTGTGTGTCTGTGGGTGGAGACAATAAAGATTTAAAATTTGTCAATATAACTTGATTTTGGTCTTCTTCACAATTTCCTGTCCCAATAAAAGATAAGTTGCTAAGGACAGCCGTTTTAAGACCCGCAACAAACTGCCCAGCAGTGGGATTTGAATTGCAGCCGCAATTGGCCCGAATGCATCCAAAAAGATTTTCTAACGGGTCCTGCTGGAGCCTTCTTGTTTCCAAACTTTTTATTGATTTATGTTTAGAACTGAGATTTCTTCAAATTCGTTCTATTCCATTGATGGACCATATCCAACCTTCTTGGGATGGAGAAGCTCGTTTGCATCCCAAAAACGTCAATTCTTTAAAAAAATTCTTCATTAAAGTGAAATGTGTGAGATGTGGTGTATTATTTGTCATGTTTGTCGAATATGGTTTCCCCCTTCTTAGGTCTGGTGTGCATGCGTTGACACAATCAAACAGCTTGTCCATATTTGCAATAACATTAGCTGTAGTGACAGCCTCTGAAGAGAGTTCCCCTGTAAACAACACATAATTTAAGATCTTACTATTAGGATTAAAGAAACATGATTTAAAGTATGTTACAAGACAACTCAAAAATAATATCACATATCAGTATCACACAATAAACAATAATTTGTACTTGGGAGAGCCTAGTTCCTTTTTAAGTTAATAATTATTTTAATGGGTGGACATATGTTTAAATATTATACTTTAAATTATAAATTTAATTTACCTTGTGAAATTTTAGCATACATTCCTGCAGCAACTGAGTGGCTTAACACTTGTGCAGCTAGCTTCACCTTCATCTTCTGCTTCGTATTTGGATTTAAATGTTCTTGTTTTAAGCAAGGTGCAAACACAAAATTGGGATTGGTGTTATCTGTTTCATAAAACTCCTTTATATGGCTCCATTTAGCAACACCTGTAAAAAAAATTTGTGTAAATATCCAGTAAATTGGAAATATGTATAATATTATGATTGTAATAAAACAAAATATCTTACCAAATCCAATTTGATCATTTGATGTTATATTTGTTGGACATTTAATGTCATATTTTAAAAACATATTTCTAAAGCATTTGAGCAAATGCGGAGTATCAAAAATGGTAACCACTTCTCGATTATTTAGCAGAATATATGGCTGTTCTACAGATGCTCCCAAGATACTTAAAGCTCTCTTATTCACACCATCCATATCACACACCGTAGCTGAAATATTAATTCCAGCATCAAAACAATGTTGCAGGACCTAGAATGATAAAAGGGTAAATTAATATGGTAAAATAGTACTACTACATATATTGACATAATAACAAATAAAAGACCATAATGCTCACCTCCTTAGAATAATAAAAGTAATTGGTTGTTTCAGCTTTTTACGGATTCCGCCAATCATGAACACGAGGGCATGTGTTGCCATTTGTGGTGACCTGACCTGCAGTGCATGGTCTTGTTAACCCTCAATTATGTCCTCCTTTTTGTTGTAAAACAAATTCTTTTTTATTGACATCTCATCAAACATAAGGATATACTCATTGTCTAAGGGAGTCTGTTGCTTTATTGCTTTTTTTCAAAACATTAAAAATTTGGTCATTAATACCAACTTTCATGTGAAACTTGCTTAATAACGCTTTTAATGAACTAGGTGTTGGCAGGCAAATCATCCTTCTTAATAATTTGTAGCACCTAGGTGACCTTTTATACAGTTTTAGTGCTATTACTTTGGAGTCCATGTTCCATCTTCGACCTTATGATTTTTTTTTATAGTTTTGCAATTCTCCTTGCAAAAATAATGCAAAAGAGGGGGATATTTTACATTTTAATATTTCATTTACGGAATCATTTTTGCTCAATACTTTGAGAAATGCTTCATTCTTTAGATGCTTTACAGTTTTTTGAAGCCTGTTAATTTTTCTCAGATGATATTTCATTTTTATCAACATATCTTTATCCTTTTTGTTTTTCGTGGATGGATTTGCAGCAGCAACAGGGTTGATATTCTCAGTTACTTGAGGAATATCACTAGTTATGTCAGGAATGGTTTTATAATTTACATTCTCACACAAGGGTTGTATAAATTTTGACGGACCCGCAACAGGCTCAAATACATTTGAAACAGTTATAGTCTTCTGAATATTTTCAGACAGTGGTTGTTTATTAGTTGATGGACCTGCAATATGTTGAATGACATTCCTTTGTTCCAAATTAAGGTCAGCTAATGTGATCTGAAAATTAGAGATTATCAAATCATTATTTATATCATGTATCCCAGCATTGGTCAACCAATCTCTAAATTTCAAACAGCCTTATAAATTTATAAACATTAAATACAACTTGTTTTTTTTAATGAATGTTGCTTTAACACCATTACCACCACCATCCTATTTTTAAGACACTATTTTAACAATTTCTTTTATTTGTAAATATATTCTGTAAGTAACTAAATTATAATCATGTCATTTAAACAACATTGACAGCTCGCGGAGCAGTGGCTAGCATTGAGTTGCAGCATTAAAGGTCACAGGTTCGAATGCTACACGGAATAAGTATTTGTAAGGGGGTCAATTTAAAATTGGTTGCAGATAAAGTCGTCCCTGAGCAAAAATATTTTCTTCTCGGTGATATTAATTAAATTGTTAT